CCATACCATACCATACCATACCATACCATACCATACCATACCATACCATACCATACCTTATTACACCGTATCAAACTTACTAAGACACCAGTACAAAACTATACAATCACCACACCCGTAAATGAATGATATGCAGTAAATGCAATATATAAAGACACAACTTTAAGTTCGCAAACAGCACCTTCTGTGCTTTTGGTGAAATAATCAGTTCGCAAAACGCCTCATTTTGTCTCTCATAAATTTTTTAAAAATCAGTTCACAAACACCGATTTCTGTGCTGTTTAATAAAAGAATCAGTTCGTAATTAAATGCCACTTTCTGTCCTTTGCATTAAACAAATCAGTTCGCAAACACCTTATTCTGTCTCTAATAATAAAACAAAGTCTTTTGTAGTAAAAAAAAAAAATTTAAAAAATCAGTTACAGACACCCCCTTCTGTCTTTTGCTACCACCTCTATGGACATTCAGGCCCCCACTTGTCTCCCCTCGCTCTCAGTCTCTACGACTACTGTGGCGAGGCGCAAGCGCGGGCGACAACGGATAGATGTGGCTCGCGTCCCTTCTCTCGTGGGTGCGTGCGTGTGTGTGTGTGCATGCGTGAGTACGTGAGTGAGTGAGTGAGTGAGTGAGTGAGTATCGCACGCGCCGGGCTGCTTGCCGCCAAGTGCTTCGAACGGCTACTAACTACGACATCCGTCCATCAGGTCCACACAGTTTGATCTCTTCAAACTTTCAGGAGGGATATAATTGTTTTCTTTCTTTAGTTTTGGTTTATACTCGAACAAACAGAGTATCACCTACGCTGGCGTTTCGACCTCCTGCACTGCTCGTTTCTTGTGAGTTTTTCACCCCAATTCTACATTATCTTTCATGTGTGAGTTGTTAAATCCTCCCCCTTTCTCTCCCCCCCTCGCCCCCACGTTTTTTACTACTATTTCACCCCAACAAAACCTGTCAATAATAAAGGCACGCAACACCAACATGAAAACATGTTTCTATCAATAAAGAATTACTTTGTCACGGTGGTTGTGGGGGTTTTCTGATTTTATACGTATATGTTTTGGGGTTGTTTTTTTTAAAGAGTGTCGTTGTATATTTGTATTATTGCTCTCGTGGGTTTTGATGATGTTACTCTTACTGTTACTGTTGTTGTTGGTGGTGGTGGTGGTAGTGGGGGTGGTGTTGTTCTTGTTGATGTTCTTGTTGTTGTTGCTAATGTTGTTTTGTTGTTGTTGTGCTGTTGTTGCTGTTTTGTTAATTTTACTTATACGGATGTGAATATCATTGTTTTGTTTGTTAATTTCGGAGACATTTTGACTCTGTAATAGCTTTTTCAAAGTCAACTTTGACAAGCTTCCTTATGTATAATAAATATAATAATATACCTGCAGAACCTATTTCTATATATCTACGGTTAATAAAACAAACGGACTGCCCCCCGCCCCCCTCTTTTGTAAAAATCCCAATATTATTAGTACTTTTTGCAAATATTTTTTTTTTAAAATCATGCACGACATAGGAAGCAATGAGAAAAAAGCTTTCTCATTTTACTGGCAACAATAAGACTTGTCAGTATAGCGGTACTTTATTGTACCCTTGTTCTTGTTCTTCTTCTTGTTCTTCTTCTTCTTCTTCTTCTTCTTCTTCTTCTTCTTCTTCTTCTTCTTCTT